GGCTTTTTGTGAGACACCCTCTGCATTTCTGAATGTCACAATTTGACCTGTCTTTATGATGGTGTTCCCAGTGTGCTGTCTCTGGGCCTCTGGCAAAGGATCATTCTCAGGATTTACTGCAATAGTGTCTAATCCTACGTTTTCTTCAATGTATGTTGTCCTTGATTGTTCTCATTGCAGGTAATCTGAGGTTCTTCATTCTCGTGAGTAACTTTTCTCAATCTGACTTGGTGCACTCTGACACAGGTGCCTCTGTGTCTAACAAAAACCACTGCACCATCTTGACCAATGACCACTCCTGGTCCTTTCCATTCTGGACAATCCAGTCTTTTGTAAAATATTTTGTCTCCAGTTTCATATCGCTCGTCTATGGGCCACAGCTGTTTCTTTAGTGCTCTGCGTATCCTTTCTGAACATTCTGCTTCTGAAAAGCTTTTCTTGCAGTATGCAGGGCTGAAATGTGCTTGGTGGTGCCCTCTAGAGCTGGAGCTCTGTCTATTAATACAGAGGGCAGGTTGGGATTCTGCCTGAACACCAGCTGATGTGGGCTGCATCCATGGACATTTTACTCTTTGCACAGAGTTCTTTGCCATCAGGGCCCAGTTCATGGCAGTGCTCCAGTCACATCCAGTACTTGCTTTGACTTTCAGTAGGATCTCCGTTAGAGTTTGATTGTGGTGCTCCAACAGTCCACTGCTCCACGTTGTTGTCTCAACTTCAGTATTAAAGGCCATGTCTCCTAATTATTAAACTCACCACCATTGGCACTGAACAACTTTTGTGGTGGGCCATGCGCACTGATCCAATCATGGATAAAACGTTTGACTATTTCAGAAGACCTCTTGGTGGTTCAGACACTACACTGAAAAAGGTGAACTGGTCAGTAAAGTGTAGGCACCAAACCCCAGGTTCAAGTTCATGCAGATCTACAGCAACTGTTTCATTGTATGTAGATGCCAATGTAAGCCGTCAGCAGGTTTGGTTTGGTCTTAGATTATTCTGACACACTTCACACTGATCATGACCTTTTTTAGCAGGCTGTCACATTCTGTGTCCTTGTTGCCAGAATTAGTCAAGTCTGCGTGTTTCATCAACAGAGGCGTGTCCAAACTGTTTATCAAGTTTCTCCAGAACTTTCATCTGTTCACTTGTGTTCATCTTGTCTGTTGTCAATATTTCTTCCTCAGAAGCTTCTAATAGCTTATCAGAGTGAGTCAAATTTCTATTTTTACTGTCCACAATGTTCACGCAGTGATGACCTGAACTAGTAAAGTCCAGTTTGACAGGCTGGGTGAACATCAGTGCACAATCCAAAGTGCAGGACAGTTTTTAGGAACCTTTTTAATGAGGTTTTACTCAGAAGCAGTGGGATGTTAGCAGGTTCCACTTCAGTTTCTATATTACACTTTGTGTTGCCAAGTTTTGCAGGTATCTTTTCCTTTTTGGTGGAGTAGACTTGAAGGGCCCATGATTTTGTGTTTCTGTCTCTTTCATAGTTTTCACTCTTTTCTTTTGTAACACAGTACTGTAGTTGTCCAGCCACTCTTGTCCACAAACTGTCCTAGTGCAAGCAGTGTGACATTCTGTCATGAATATTTCTGCATCTGTTGGTGATTCTTTGGTGTACAGAGTTAAATTACACTCTTCCACGTCTTTTGTATCATCGGTAATTTGAACACTATCAGCTTTGTGCGGACAGTTTGTAACCCTGTGAAAAGTACTTTGGGACACTGGACATTTGGACCGTTCTCCAGCGGGTTGGTACCGGGCTGTGGGGTTTTCTGCTGCCGCCAGTTCTTGCCTTTTTGCCGCCGTTGCTCCTGGCTATTGCCTTCTGCTGCGCGCACCTGTTTTTTCGCAAAATATTCTCTTCAAAGCGGACTTCATAGTAGCAAATGTTACATCTGAGTTGCCGTTAAAGCCAACTGTCTGTCCGTTATTTCCAAACACGCGGTGTCCAAAAGCTTAAAAGCCAAAACTGCGTCAGGTAGCTGCTCCATGATGTATTCGAGTAACGCTGCTCGAAATTAATAATAGTCCGCCATCGACGTGTTAACTTCTTTTATGATTCAGTCAAAATCCGAGTACGCCTCAAAGATCCTGTCCTTTTCCTCTTTTATGAAAAAGTCATCCAGTTGAGCGGACAGTGTGGCCATTCATTTAGACCGTCTACCGGAGTTTCCATCGCCGTGTCCCGCGCTCTTCCAGACGGATCCAGGGCGACAGCAAGAGCTGCTTTTTCTTCTCCAAATCTGTAACTCTCGTCCAAATGTTGCCTTCATTCTTCCAGCTTTCGTGAGGCTTTCCTTCTTCAAACATTGGCGGAACTTTGTAGTTACTAGCCATCCTCTGCTACCAATGTTAGTAAAATAACTTGTTTCTTTGCTCAGCTTTATTCCGCCATGTTCATCACCCGAACAGACAACCAGAGCAGAACAAGAGTACAAACCCAAAATCATATGCTCCTGGCATAACAGTGCCCCCTAGAGGATGGGCATGGAATACAAACAAAACAAAGGAGTAACAGAATTTCTGCTTTTCTGCTCTGATCTGACCTCTGAACTTTTATCTGTTTTCCAGATGAATTGTTCCAGAAAGTTGCCGAGGATTTCAGCAGCTCTGCTTTCCAGCTCCTGGCTGGTGAGTTTCCTCAGGAAAACCAGCTGATCATTTCACATCCAGTTTGGAACAAAATCGGTTCAGTTGCACTGAACCGATTTTGCCTGAGCGGTTCAGTTTCAGTCTGCAGCGATTCCTCATGTTCATAAATCAGCCGGTGAACGGATTGAAACATGGATTATTACCAGAATGGATAATAATTACGACATGAGCAGCTCCACTTTTCTATCCTACAGTTTTAAATGTCAACTTGAGAAATAAACTTTAAGTGATTTCAGTCGCACCGTTTCCCTCTGGGATTAAACTGGTGGGACGCGCGCAGACCTCCAAATTGCAAATTATGCATGTTGGGCTTCTGAAGAAAAATGTATTTATGATGTTTCCCAACACTTTATGTAGAGTTGTGACAAAAAAAAAACATTTTTATAAAAGCAACTTTAGAGTTTTTACAGTAAATATCAGTAAAAAACATAAATTACAGTTTTTATTCACATTTCTTACAAAAATGTTTTATACTGAAATAATCCTAGGAATTTTTAAAAATCAATATTAAGGAATTATTGACTTAAACTTTATCTTGATGAAAATGTATTTGTTAGTTTTGTTTTATTTCAACAACTACATTTGAACAGGAAACTAACATATATATATATATATATATATTTTTTTTGTGATATCAGAGATGATTTATAAAACCCAGGAAACAAATTTCTTCATTTCTGTTCCAGAGGAAACCGGCATTGACTTGGGTCAGAAGAAAGACTCGTATTTTTACTCCTGTTGCCATGGAAACTGATGCGGGAAGAGCGGATGGAGGATTCCTCTGCACTGTCAGTCTGGGTCCGCTGGCAGCCAATCACAGAGCAGAACCCAGGCTCCATCTTTGTTTTTCTTTGTGATCGTAGCAGGAGAGACGGAACCGCCGAGCCGGACTCTCATCACACATCTAGAGTCACCAACAAACACTGAGGAGAAGAAGGTTTGTTTACGTTCAACAGTCTCACTTCGTCCATGTTTACGACTTTTTCTGCCACGACAGCCATGGATGTAAGAAGAAAAGCAACACTCAGCCTTCGTTGGTCTCAAATTGCTACAAAATCCAAATTTTCTGACAGAAAAACTGCAACTTCAGTCAAAGGAAACCAGTTGTTAGATTGTTTTTCAGCTTGGTTTGTTGTTCATAGCACAGCTTAGAAACACAGCGGCCATTCAGAGAAGAATCTGACAGTTAAAGTAACGTCTAAAACTTGCAGGTTTACGATTCCTCCAGTTATTATATAACAAAACACTAATGTACGTTTTGACTCTCCATCACAGCAGAGAGTTTTCATGGTCGTTATGGAATATCTGACGCATGAACTTTGCACTACGAGCTGCGATTGTGTCAGAAATAAGCTGGTGTTGGTTGCTGGTCGCCATCAGACTCATCTCTGCGTTGCTGGTACTGCATGAGCTGCCTGACAGGAAAACACCTTGATTTGATAAGATAATTCAGAAGTTGCCGGCCGGTCTGTGGGGTTGTAGCCGGTCAAAGTTTCCTTTCTCAGATTGACCCAAACTGGAAAAGCCTCCTGCTGAATGTTGTGACATAAAAACTGTTTGCTCGTCGTTTGCAGGTGAGTTTGACTTTTGATTTGCTGAGTTGTTGTTGCCTTTTAAGTTGAGCTGCAGGTGAATATTTGTTCATGTTTTATGTTTCATGAAATTCTGATGCACAGTATTTTTTATCAAAGGCTGGTAAAGTTGTTCAGATTATTTAAAAAACAAAAACTTCCTGAATGAATGTTTTGAAATGATGGCAGAGCTCCAGTTATGTTGTTCTGTATAAGTTTTAATAAATAAACTCTAAAGAAATCATGAAACTTTTCTCCATTCTTGTTTCACAACAGTTTTTTTTACATCTGTGTTTAATGAACTCAGACTCGTTTGTGTATTCCTACACACAGGAGGAACTTCTTTGTGTTACTAAAAACTGATATATAGTCACCCGACTTTCCCCCAGGAGAATCGATTCCAGGCTGGGGCAAAGATACAACAGTCAAATTGA